GACGGGGGGATTTAAACAAAGGGGAGCCCGGCCCCCGCCGCCCCGGGGCGGCCTGGCAGGGCGGCGGCGGCTGGGGGAGAGGAGAGAGCGGGGAAACGGGGTTGCTTTGTCAACAGAGGAGAACAGGAGCTAGCATTATAAACAGAGGGGAGGACACACTGGGTAGCTGGGGTTCAGGTGCCCAGGAAGAACGGTGATGTGTAACAGGAGGACAAGCGAAGAGAGGAGCAGCAAAAATGTGGGTCTGGTTACCGAAGATGCCATTAGGCATACATTTTTTTTGTGTGTGTGTGTGCCATTTGGTTACCGGTATTTTCTAAATGCCATGTCCTTTGGCCCAAACGATAGACCTACTGAGATTTAAATGTATCGGGGAAAACATGCTGTCAGATCCCAGTGTAATCCAGTGCATACCTGATCTTTGATTCCTTTGAAATAATCCGTTTTCACGAGATTTAAGACAAGTAGTCCCATTGAGAGCAATCAGTTTTTAGAACAAGCCTAGGTAAGACAAACAGAAAGCTCTTCATAAATAATAATAAGTAGTGTTTACTTGAGTAGAAGCTGCAATATCATAGTGGCAATGAAAAGCTAAAAACTGGGAACTGACTAAACAGGATTAAAAAGAACAGGACAACCATCTTCCTGAGTTTCCTTGGGCCCAGCAATTCTGTTCTTCCTGTGTCTACATGACACCATTTTCTGTCTAAAAGTTGGATGAGACTAACATTTTTATGGTCTGTTGATTTTTTTTGGCGGGGGGTGGATTACCCCCTCTCCTCCTTAAGTTGAGGCAAAAGCATCAGCCAGATCTCAGATACACAAGCAAAAATACAGTGTAAACTTAAACAGATGCACTCTTGAAAATCTCTGGCTCTGTATTATCAACAGAGCCACAGGTATTGTTGCTATGTTCTATCTACACTCATTTTTCAGCACTTCTGTCATTAGTCTGACCTATATGTTAAGTTTCAAGAGAACTGAAATAGCTTTTTTTGTGCACTCATGTTATTAGTGCTAATTGTAAGACCCAACACCTGAAAGCATGATTGCTGTTGCCAGCAGGAGGTTGTAACACATAGAAGCACTTGACTTCCTTTGAGCTACCCCCTCCTGTGCTACAGTGTTCAACATAAAGCTTCTAAAGCCAATTCTAGGTTTCTGCAAGTTATTCTAATGTCTTTATGAACTTTTCTCCTCTGTCGATACATAGCTATGTTTGTTTTGCAAAAGGCTTTAATCTGATGTGAAAAGGTAGTATCATATATACAAAGTAGTTTGTAAAATATGTGTATACATGACCTGTCTTCTCTTCTAGCTGCAGGCCGTGTCCAGTTGGATAGCAGACCTACATTAACCACCGCAGGTACAGTATAGCACATAGTTTTCATAATGTGGTAGTCTCCACCAGTAGTAGTAGGAGAAGCTGTGATTTTTATAGCCCATTGAGATGTTTAAGCAAAAGGAATAAGTATTTTGGCCTAACCATCTGTGCGTCCTTAGTTCTGCACACTCCCAAGATGTGCATGTTCCCTGTTGGTCCCACAATGTTACCTTTATGTGTGTTCTGTGGCTGGAGATACTTATGTCTATATAGTTTAGCAGAAGAAAAGGTGTAAATCTTGCATCTTCTCAGTATGCATACTGTTACACTACCTGCTATGGCTCGTATACTGCATCCAGCCTCAAAGAGAATGCTCAGCTTTGCATTAGCAGCATTGCTGAAATAAAAGAAACACCAGTGTATTTTTAGATTATGTAAAATCATAACCACTGAGGTACTCTGTTTAAATAAATACAGCCAGTTAGTTATATAAAATCATGAGCTCTGAATATGTCTATATAGATACCGATACACAGACAAATAGAAATTATGTATGTCTTGACCACCTAAAATTCAGATTGTTGGGAGTCAGAATAGCCTCCAAAAGCTGTGGGTACAGCCAAATGCTAATGAAGCTGTTTAACCGCATGCCTACTTACCTGATGTGTGAATGAGCTTTTGGTTTACTTTAACAGCTAAACTTTAAGGCTTGATGCACAAGTTCAACTTGTTTCTTTTTAATGAATGATTTAGTGGCTAAATAACTTTTTGATCTCTCTAACAGATGGAAATCAGAATATCACAGAAGTAGATGCACTTGATATAAGGTAAAGTTCTGATGGCAGTGGCAGAGATGGCCCATGGCCTTGCGCTCAGTGCAGGGTTTTCTGATTTTTGTTAAGAATGTGACTGGATTATTCAACTCGACTCCACCTACTTACAGAACATGAGTTTTAGCTACACCAGATGTAGAACCACCCTTCTTATCATGAAGGCATGCAGAAGGGACTGTTAGGAGTGGATTCCTTTCACGTTAGGCAGTATGCAGTGACCGTGGCAAAAACACCGTCAAAATCTAAGGAACAGTTGGGTGGACTAAGTGACAAGAGTGTTGCACTGGAATATATTCCTCTAGAAGGAGCGTAAAGGGACCACGGGATAGTGATTCCATGAATTTTTCCTATTCCACCTTACAACATCATCTAGCCCTGGAGAAGGTAAACTACCTTCCTTTGTTTAGGGAACCGTCCTTTCATGGTCATTCACAGGATCCAGGGACCTAACTGTCCAAAATCCCTACTAGCCCTATGTCTAGCCAGATCCTAAGGAAGATAAATTGCCAAAATCTGAATAAATTCTGGTACTGGTACAGGTGAAATATCATTCATAATTACAGGTCTAAAGTTTATCATCTTTGCATTTTATCATGTTAAGTACTGAAATTGGGGAGACTGCGATAAAGCACCCCACTTTTCTTATTGGTTATCCAGCCAACAGTGTAGAACCCCCCAGACTTTGAACAGTCATCCAGAATTCCTGTTCCCTGTTTGAATTCTTATGCAGATGTTACAAAACGATGTTTTAGTAAGGGGCTGCTTATAATAGAGTGGAGAAGCAGAAATAGTTTATGGATAGCTTTGCTTAACGTGCCCAGGCTTTTCAGGAAGACCTAGCGGTTTAGGCTCTCCCTAAAACACACATTTTGAGGTCTTGTCTTCTGAAATTGGATTCTCAAGGTCTCTAGCCAATTAAAAAATCTCAGCTAGCAGGGATACATGAAGGGAATTCAATTAGCCATTAACTCATTTATCAAGAATGTTTTCTGTCTCTGGCAACAGACAAACACTTGATCCTGCAGCACAATACAAAATGAACCATCAGAGAAGAGGAGTTGCATTAATCTTCAATCACGAGCACTTTTTTTGGCATTTGAGGCTGCCAGACAGACGTGGGACTCTTGCAGACAGAAACAATCTGAAAATCAGGTAAGAAATCTGGTTCCTCTACTCAAGCTTAAAAAGCTAAACTTCAGAAATCATGGTCAAATAAGCAGTTACCTATATCTTATGTTTAAATATAGAACAAAATATTCTGAGACATGAGCACCTATGCAACCTTGGCAAAGAAAGCCATAATAGAAAAGCATCAAGGCACAGTCCTTTGAGTCACAGAAACTGGTGGCACAAGTCCTATGTCCGCTGTGTCCAGATCTCTCTTAGGATAAACTCTTTCAGGTAACTTTAGGTAATATTCCTGCACTTGCAGAGGTTTGAGTTCAAAATCAAGTTTAGTAGTATTTTTTTCCTAAACAATGCATAAACATGAATATTCATTCTCTCACTAGGAAAGCAACTGTGTTGGTAGCAACTGACAGATAATTTGAGCAAGATTTTTACTGATACTGATGTGTTTTAACAATAGTTTGACAGACCTTGGATTTGAAGTCAGACATTTTGATGATCTGAAAGCAGAAGATGTGCTGCAGAAAATTTATGAAGGTAGGAGACTATTTATTGGTTATGTTTAACTATTAGTAGCAGAATTTCCAGATATGTTTTTTTCTATTCTCTCTGTTCATCTCACTTAGAATAATTTTTGTGCACAAGGGAGTTGTTTAACATTAGAAGGACTTAAGGGTTAGACTTCAGATTACTATATTGCAATGTAAGCGAAGCTTATGTGAAGAGAATGAAATTGCTAAGAGCTGAAAGTAAGTACCTGCAGCTGGGAGAAGTTAGTAACATATCTACAAATAGGGTTCATTTGAAAAAGGACTGATCGGAGATCAGTTTGTATGATACAAATGTACAATGTTTTTTAAACCTGAAGATCACGGTTTAGTCATCTAAACCCTGCTTGACTATTTCAGCCTCTAAGGATGACCACAGCAATGCTGACTGCTTTGTTTGTGTGTTCCTGAGTCATGGTGAGAATGATCACGTTTATGCATATGATGCCCAAATCAAGATTGACACAATCACAGACATGTTCAGAGGAGACAAGTGCCAGAGTCTGGTAGGAAAGCCAAAGATATTTATCATTCAGGTAAGGTGTCTGTTTCTGAATTCAGTGGAGTTAACACTGACCTATGTCTTCCTGTAATACAGTTTTCCTGATACAGTCCTTCCACAAGGGAAAGTTTTTGCATCTTTAGGGAAGAAGGTGTGGAAAACTGTTCCTTAAAGGCATTTAAGACAAAGATTCTTCTCTTTTTAAAAAAAAACCTGTATGTACACAAGTGTTAATATGATGATTCTAACTTGGGAGGGGTAGTTTGGTTGGTTTTGGTGGTAATATTTTTTCTGGTTTTATTTATTATTTTGTTTTGTTTCTTTTCTGTCCATGACCAATACTTGGCAACTCTATAGAATTTAAGAATCAGTCTAAGGTTTTATTGTCTCAGAAGTAGTGCTTGTGATCAACTGTCAAATAAAGCCCATCTATAATCACCTATTTCACTCCTTGGTTCACAAGATAACGTAAGTTGGAAGGGACCTCAGGAGGTCTCTGGTCTGGCCTCCTGTTCAAAGCAGAGTCAGTTATGGGGTCAAACTAGGTTACACAGGGCTTTATCCCATCTTTATCCAGATTACAATTAGCAAACTCAAATGAGAACCTGTCCTTCAGCAGACTGTAATTGTAGTAGCTCATAGAGTAATTCTAAGAATTACCTTTTTTTCAAATGAAGGATTCCTTAGGCACAAGGCCACTGCCAGAATCAGCACATTGTTAATGGATCTTTCATTAGGACTCATTAAGCTTTCTTTTTTTTTTTTTAAATCAGGTGCCAAAGATGGAAAAACATTTACATAATTTAGTTTTAAGTAATAGTTGGAAACATGTATAATATATACTAATCAAAAAGCAAATTAACTTAGTTCAGTTCATCAACTGAGTTCTTTTACAGCACAATCGGCGTAGCATTTACCTTTGGAAATCAGAGGGAAGAGCAAGGATGGAACTTCATCACTGTAAATGAAAGAACATTTTCATGTTTCTCTCTTTAGTGATAGTTCTTAACCTACTTTTGTATGTTTTGAGTGTGGTCTTACCTTCTTATCCTCCACATATAGCCTTTCTGCAGTACTGACAATACTGGGCTCGCTTACTGGCTTCTCACAAAAAACCCCTCCCTCAACTAACACATTTGAGACTGAACTAAGAGCAGAAGCGTGACAGCGTGTAACGATGGCTGTGCTTCAGAGCATTTATCCAACACTGCCTTGCCAACAGGTCCAAGGGAGGTGATTCTTCCTCTCTACTCAGCACCGGTGAGGCTGCATCTGAAGTACTGTGTCCAGTACTGGGTTCCCCAGTGCAAGAAAGATGCGGACTTACTGGAGTAAGTCCTGCAAAGGGCCACAAAGATGACTAAGGGACTGGGGCATCGCTCAGATGAGGAGAGGCTGAGCGAGCTGGGACGTTTCAGCTTGGAGGAGATGGCTCGGGGGAATCTTATTAATGTTGTAAACAATGTGGGGCAGCGGGGAATAAGGAAGAGGGAGCCAGGCTCTTCTCAGTGGTCCCCAGTGACAGGACGAGAGGCGACTGGCACAAATTAGAACACATGAAATTCCATCTAAACACAGGAAAACACTTTTTTACTGTAAGGTTAAAAAAAAAACCAACAGAGAGGTTGTGGGGTCTCCATCTATGAAGATATTTGAAAGCTGACTGGACACAGTCCTGGACAACCTGCTGTAGCTAACCCTGCGTGAGCCAGGGGGGTTGGACTAGGTGATCTCAAGAGGTCCCTTCCACTCTCAGCAATTCTGTGATGATCTCGGAGCTTTCACTGGACTTCATTGCCAATATTTTAAATGATAGAGAAGTAAATGGGTCTTTATTAATCCAGACTCATGGGAATACCTAACTGAAAAGAAGTCCCCTCTGGTTAGTGTCAGAAGTACCGTGTTAACACAGGTAAGCCTGGCAGAGGTGAAAGCGTAACAGCACTTCTCACCAACAGGCGTGTCGAGGCGATAAACATGACGATCCAGTTATTGCTCAGGATTCAATAGATGGTAGCAATGAATCCATTGTCAATGAGACTGAAGTGGATGCAGCTGGTGTCTACACCCTACCTGCTGGTGCAGACTTTATCATGTGCTACTCTGTGGCGCAAGGTGAGTTCTAGTATTTTACACCTGATGTCTGATACTTCACTGTAACAGGCTTGAGCACTTCTTCATTTTGCAGTCAAAATGATGACTATGGTTCCAGGTCACCTGTTTTGCATGTCTGGTAAGTGGCTCTCATCTGGGAAAGAGGCTCACATGTTAAGGAAAAAGTGAAAATAAAGCATCGAGGTCGCAGTTAATTTGCCAAGCAGCAACATTCTCATCATAATCTTGCTGCTGAGTTGTCTACTGACAGCAAGAATTCCCCTCTTTTCCAGGATTGTGGAATTCTGGTGGCTTACAAATTTCCTTGCTCTATGTGGCTGTCCTCTCCCATCCTCCCTGTATCTTGTCCTCTGTCCCATCTGCTCTCTTGTAACGTGCAGAGACAATCCTGTAAGGTACCAGTCCCTGAACCACACCTCTCTCGGCTGAGCACTACGGTTGATCTCAAAGCCATTTCCCACCTACAATTCCCAGTGAAATTACGTAATTGGTGAAGTAAGATTTACACCCATTAGTAATCCCTTACAGATGCAGCTAGCAAGCAGTAACTCATGAATATTTGAAGTGGCATCACTACTTGCATTTAGACATAATGTTATGGCCCTGTTCTACAATAGGTTATTTTTCTCATCGTGAAACTGTGAACGGCTCCTGGTACATTCAAGATCTGTGCGAGGCGCTTAGGAAGCATGGCTCGTCCTTGGAGTTCACAGAACTTCTTACTGTCGTTAACAGGAAAGTATCTTATCGCAAAGTGGATATATGCAGAAACATTAATGCTATAGGAAAAAAACAGATTCCCTGTTTTGCCTCAATGTTAACTAAAAAACTGTATTTTCATCCAAAATCTAAGTAGATTGTTATTTAACAATGACAACCATTAAATAATACTCACTATAGAAGTGAAAAACACACTGTCTTAGCTCAGGAGACTAATACTGTACGAGAATGTTTGCAAAAGCACTGGGATCATATGTTAGAGTTTGCATACATAATAGTTTCTAAAATCTTAAAGCAATCTTAAAGCTGGTGTTACAGCTCTCTTCAGCTCAGGGAATTTGGGAAAAGCTGACTGGTGCAAAGCTATTAAGAGGTGCTCAGATTTTATTGAAATTGGTACTCTACATTGCTTTTTTTCCTTCAAAGTTTTTTGCTTGCTTGCCATCGAACCATGGCACATTTTACTGTTTCCAAAACATTTAAAATGTTGCATTATATTAGCCTTTCTTGCTCCAAGGGCATAGTTTACAGGGAATATGTTTGTAGGGCATCTTTTTCAATCTGTGGACAGTGATATTGACCTTCCAATTCTTGTGGATTTCTACTTTTTAGACATCTTTTAATTTTCTTTCAACACTAAAAAGGAACTTAATTCCTTAAGTGCAATTGTAGCATTAATATAGATAAAGGGCTTCTTTTTGCTTGCACATCATGTACGTTCAGGGCACAGTGAAGGCTTGCTGGTGCTCTGCATCCTCAGGAAAAAAGCAAGCAGTAGTGCACCGAGACTGCGTACAGCTTGCTTAGCGTGACTTTGGGTGAGCTCGCCTCGCGCGCGTCTCCAAAGCTAAAGCAAACCATTTCAAGGTTGCAGGCTCACGTACAGCTGCTGGACACCTCGAGGCAGCTCTGCCAAGTACAGCACATGCAAACCTTCATACTTCAGGCCCTGGTGTTGGATCAGCCTCGTCTTCCCCTTGGCCCCGGAGGCGATCAGCCATACACTGTCATGGTGTACGTAAAGGTGCTGGTGCGTTTGTCACCCCAGGATGTTTCACCATAGGATTGTTACTACTGCAGCATCAGTGATTTCAATGATACTTACTAGAAGCAAGTATTTCTTTTATTTTTTTTTTTTACATTATTGGTATGGTATGTGCGCTTAACTCTGGGGACAGTGGAGAACTCAAGCTGAGAAAAGTGTCTTAATCCCCTTTCCTGGGTATAAAAGAATTAATTTACTGGCTCTGCTTTAGTTAAATGTTTTCATATACTATGTTACGAGTCACAGATGTTAAATCTTACGATGGCTACTTTTAACTTTTGTATAAATCATGAATGTATAAATTTGAATGTCTTGATAAATTCTTACAATAAAATGCAATAGTGAAACATAAATGATGTTGTAGTGAATGAGTTTGATGTATCTCACTTTCCCAGCAACATTTACTAAAAAAGCTTACTTGTAATGCAAGTCTAACCTCCACCAGTGGTGTTTTATCAGAGTCAAAGCACAGAGCTAGGGAAAGGACAACAGTAATTTCAGGAAAAAAGGTCTGTAATACTCAGTGCAGAAAATGATTCTGTGTGCTACTGCTGTGCTATAGTAAATAGTCCTAAAAAGACAGCCCTTGTTCTATAAAACAACCCTGACATTTTACGAGCAGGCAGAACACCTCCATTTTACTAATAGAGATTTGACAAATACCTTGGAAAACTGCTTCAGCAGCTTCTTTATAGTATTTAAAAAAACCCCAAACCAACCAAACCATCAAGTGACCAAATCATTTTTATAGATATTTATTGCAACTTTCAAAACTATAGTGGTCAAAAATACCCAGTTTCTGCGGAGTAACTAAATGTTTGCATCAGCTCTGAGAAGGCAACTGTAGTATATACAAACCCAGCGTCAGTCCTTGTCACTGATCTCCTGGATTGGAAGCCTCAGGTGCAGAGGCTGGCGCAGGCGCCTCAGGGATTCTTCTGCCTGCCAGGGCAAGAAAGAGCGAGAATTCATCCTCTTGCAGCCCTCTGCTTTCTCCTCCTCTGTCGCACATCCGGTATCCTTCCTTTCTCAGAAGGCATTGAGGACACCAAACTCCTCAAACGGAGGACGCTGAACGTTCACCCACCTGCTTGGGTCATCCAGCCACTCTCCACTGAGAAGCATGTGCCCTGCCTGTCCACCCACCTACCCCCTCCCCCCCAAAGTATTATTTTCCCGAAATTAATACTCAAAGGCTACCGAAAAAGCATCAAACTCTAGCCTTATGCCCAATGTGGCTCATGAAATGGTAGGTCTTGAACTAAAATTAGGAGTAGTTTCAATTTTCTTTTATGAGATGTTGAACACGGGGCTGGGGAGGTGGAATGGGGGAGTAAGAATTGAGGAGTGGGATCTGCTGCATTTTTTCATGGAGATTACAAAGTTTCTCCCAGGCACAGATGCCACCACCTTTTACAGGGAATCCTAAACCTTCTGCCTCAAGAACAGGATTTTGTCCAATGCTGCACTCTGCAAGACAGTTTCCTTCCAAGGAGGGGAGATGTCTGCGTTATCATGGCAGTGCAGCAAACATACCGTCTCCGAAAGCAACACAGCTATTCTATTAAAATGGCCGAAAATGTAACATATTCGAGTATGCGAAAAAAGGATGTGTAGGGCTGATAAACTGACTGACTCGTTTTAAATTAAATTCACGAAGGTCTCCCTTTCTGGTGACTTACCAACGTAGTTTATACATCAGTGGCAAACACTGTATGGTTATTTAACCAGCCCAAACTGGCTGACACAAAATACACTGTTCTGCATGTAAATAACAAACCTTGAGGTCAATTTTCTGTCAGCTGGGAGTTGACTGGAAAAGTCTCAACCCAGAGGTTACCTCATTAGTTAAGGGCTGTATTTAAATACCTCTGCTAGGTCTTCTTTGAGCTTGTTGTATCGTTCCACATTAAAATGCTGCTTTTTGGATTTCCGATAGAAGTAGTGGAGGAACTGCCTGTCTTTAGCATCAGGGTAAATGTAGTCCTGGGGAAGAAAGCAAGGCATGTATTTGGGGTTAGCAAGAAAACCGGGTAGAGGTCAGATTATCTGCACCATTGGGTTTCCAATAGAAATTCAGCCTGTTTCAGGGAGGTTTATCTAGTTCACCACACACACATGTTCTGTTAAGAGGCTACGTATGAAGTTACACCCTTACAGGTCATAAGGGCCCTTCAGACACACCGTAGGAATCATTTCTATCGCATCTGAAGGAATTTTCAGTCACAATAAAGACCTAGCGTGATCTTTGTGACTAGAGCCGCCTGAGTCAATGGACACTACTTCCAAGGAGGCAAAGTTCAACTACCATTAAGCAATGGTGCCAGCAGCTGTTCGAAAAAGCCAAGCAGTAATCTCTCCATCTACTCATACACCCAAAGTAGGAATGCCTTAGCCCTTCTTAAAAACCAGTGGAAGGAGTGAAATTCAGAGCCGGCTGTTCATAAAACCAGACACGTCTCCCCTTTTCACTAAAGGGACCAACCTCTCAGGAGGTCTATAGATCCAGTGGTATTAGGGAAGGGAGTGTTGGCTACTCTTCCTCATACCTCCGGAACAAAAAGAGTTTTGCATCACAAAGGTCGACATCCAGACATCCACTTTGGGAATAAAGTACAGAGAGAAAAACAGGAAAAAGAAACATTCCTCCAAGCCTTACAGGATTTCAGGACAGCTCTGTGTTGTGCAGCTCGGTTAAGATCTGTATTTTTTGTTACTCAGCAAATGTTTTTCTTCTAACCAAAGCCTGTTTCATGCCCCACTTCAGCTGTCCTAGATTTACCTCCATTCATTCAAAGTCAAGGAAAAGCAGTCAGATTATGACAAACAAAGCAATAAAATTTTTCCAGGCACTGGACTAGGTATGTTGCAATAACGCAACTGCCAGATTTCCAAACCGTCTGCACCATTTATATGTAAACTCCAGCAACTAAAAGCTACCGTTCAGTGATTTGCTCCCTGGCCTGCTGTAAGGCAGTGTTCACAAACTGGCACAGCACTTCTAGTTGCTGTCCCTTTACAACAATGAGCAAGGTGCCCTTTACTATTCAAAGTGATCTACAAAAATTTGAAGTGAGAGACTTCTTTCATCGCTTTTCATTCCCTAGTTATGAAATCTTAGAGGCAATAATCCTGCTCAGCAGCTGCTCTGCAGTTCACGTGTAACAGTACCTGGCTGGACTTCGCATAACATAATGTTCGTATCCAGCGCCGTTAAGGATCAAACAAGTCCCTATGTGATGGCAAGGCTACTTACTGAATTATATTGTCATCAGAGCCCAAACACTGTGATTTTCAGAGTCCGTTTTCCTCCTTCACTATACTCAGACATTTACAAAACGAGGACTTACCTGTTTAGTAAGAACAAAGTAGGCATAGAAGGCCATGGCACTCCCATAAGTGATGAAATACGTCACTGGCTCCATGATGTCCCAGGAATAGACCCACCACGTCAGCCATGCCAGCGCTCCCCCTTGTGTTGACATCAGAGCTAAGCCAACCCATAGGAGCTTGGAGGTCTTTGCATCTGCACTGTCCATGATTCTGGCTTTCATCTAAGGAAAACCAAACACGAGTACAAGTGGTGAGCGGCTCCTCAATCATGTTTTCTCCTGCTGGGCCAGATCCTTTTTCAGGATCTTGTACTTACTCCTCTTACTGCCTTAACCCTGCCAAGAAAGAAAAGGACTGAAATCCAAGGGTATTCAGATCTCCTGGCTGTTGTGCACCAAGAAATGCTGCTTTTAGTCTCCCCTTGCCACCACTAGGGATTTATGTCTACTGGATTTCCATATACCATTCAAGGCAGCTCTGGTTAACGCTGAGGCTGGTCCTCACAAAGCAGGTCTGAAGCCAAGGACAAGTTTGTCCACTTTGTCACTATCTTCCTGGCTTCCTCCCCTCAAGCTGGGTTAGCTTAGCCTGCCCTAGATCAACGTTCACACCTTCCCTTCTTGGATTATGGCAACCACTAGTCCAAACAATTTGCCTTGCTGCCTTGGTGATATAGAAAACCCTAGCCTAAGCCACAGGTGATTCCTACCTCGCTATTGTTTCTTCTGTAACAGGTATTCAGAAGTCCTAGAGTAACATGTGACTAAGAGGACTTTCAATCCCAATACTAGCCATGCTGAGGCTTGTTCATGACAGCTTTCTCCAGCTGTTGTGGTTTCTACCCAGGGCATATGCATAACAGGAGAGGAAAGGACTGAATTGAAAATAATTTGAATTATATTTGAATTGACCCTCATTTGCGTAACACACAAAACAGACACACCCTAGCCATTCATGCTGACTTTTTTCTATCACAGGACTTTCTCTTGATGAAAGGAAATGCTTTTGAGTTTTTTTTTTTAAAAAAGGAACCCTGCTTTCTAACCTGTTCAAGAGGCAGCAGCTCTTCTTTCAGATGGTCCAGCTTCTGTAGCAATTCTCTCTCTTTCCTGATCTGATGATCTTCTAAATGTAGAGCCACAAACAGTCTGTGAACCAAGGATTTGATATCTTCCGTTTCAGTAGCATGCTCACTACTCAGCTTATCTGAAAAGAAAATTCCTTTCTCCAGACAGGTTCCAGTTTCCTGAAACTTCCCATGCCTTTCACTAGATGAAGTGAGATAATCAGAGTTATTAAGCATCGCTCTTACCTTTTACAGGAGGTGACACATTGTATGCTGTGTTGTTGATAACAAGTTTAAAGTCATTCATAAATAAGACCTCCATCAAGGTTGCACAAGAGACCTTGCTACCATCTGCAGAAGAAAGATTTCAGTTCTAAATAATTTATCATAAGAAATCTTAAAAGGTTAGCTGATATCCCTTTGGAAAAGTGCTAGAGTTCTTTATTAATAATGTTTGGAAGGGAACTGTACTTCTAGTAAATCTGGTAATGGACACTAACAAGTAAGGAGGAACACATTGACGCAGAGCGTGTGCCAGAATGCTTTCTCTAGCAGCGTCATTCGTCATTCGGACTCACCACTACTGTGAGCAGACTTGCGTTTCCTTGTGTTACCATTGTGACCGGTATTGACCCATTTCGAAGGGGAGGGCCGAAGAAAAAGGGAGTCTTGCATAAAACACCAACAAATCGTAACATGAAGAAAGATCTGCATTTTTCTTTCTCCATCCAAATGCAAATTTGCATCTTCACTAGGATTCAAAGGGTTTGGGGAAATTAGAAGACCTTCAAAGACCTCATCTTCAGTTATAGACTAATGTCTCTCTTTACACAAGCTCTTCTAGTCAAAAGGAGCAGTTGTTGTCAGTAGTGGTGTTTGGATTTTTATTAACGGTACTTGCAATCACTCTGCTTCAGTATCAGTTGTGACTGGGAGTTAAGAAGTAGATAGCTGGACTGTCCACAAAAGGCAGACCAGGAGCCACAGAGGCATTAGGGTAAAAAGCTCTGGAGAACCCTTTTGTACTTTTCTTTTTTTATGCAAAAATTTAATGAATGCTACCCCACCAGCAACACAGAGAACAGGCTAAGGGGAAAAAAAAAATCCTATCTATTTTAATGACTTAAAATCAGAGACAAGGGGGCAACTGTGACATTCAGTCAGGAAAGCTGGTTGTTGAAGATTTTATCCCGCTTTTATATTTGTTCCTTCTTTTCATTCCCTCTCTACCATTCTTCTTTGCCAAAGGCCCTTTCACCCAAAAGGCAGTACCTGTGTCTGCTTAGAAAAGCTTTGACGCTGGTAGATGGACCACAACTCCAGTATATGCAAGGCTGCCATCCAACATCACGGGCACGCTGCAGCCCTTCCCAGGGCATTCTCAACACAGCAGGTCTTGTGAGATCGGTACTCTGGCAACATTACCGATTTCTTGAACAGGAAAAATAGCTGCATCCAAATGTGAGGTGGATCCCTTCCTATTTTACATTCAATACACACAGGCAGATGTAATCTAAAACCTCTCCTGAAATGTAAAAGACCTGTTTGTCCCATCTCTGCTTTTTGCTTCCCTGTTTAGAGGGGCCTGAAGTTTGTAAATAACCTGTTTTCTTCAGTATATTACTCCTCTTCCTGCCTGCCTGCTTTCCTATCTCCTCTTCATTTCACCGTCTGCCACACCTCACCGCTGTTAAGACGCAAAGGAACACATCACATCCCACAGGGAGCTGCAGACACCAAAAAGGAGCTGCTGGAGTCAGCAGCAGCAACACGCAAGGGTGGGTGCCCGGAGCTCTCACTGGCCCAAGTCCAGCAGATCCCAGAGCCACCCAGTAAAGCCAGGCCCCACAGGGGGTTCAGGCAGCCTAAGAACCCCCGGAGCGGCACACCATTGCTGCTGGACACATCGCTGTGGCACTGGGGGTTCAAAAGCCACCGAGCAGCTGCTCCATGGTAGCTGTTTGACCTGTCTTCATTTCCTATACATAAAACCAGCATCTTCCCCTGCCCCTGCCAGGGGTGGGCAGTGGTGGAAAACAGCAGCTTTACTGCTGAGATGAATAATGATCAGGCTGCAAAACATGAAGATTTTTGTATGTAAATATTTCATACAATCACAGAATCGTTTAGGTTGGAAAAGACCTTTAAGATCATCAAGTCCAACCATTAACCTAACACTGCCATCCCACCACTGAACCATGTCCTTAAGCACCACATCTGCCCGGCTTTTAAATACCTCCAGGGATGGGGACTCGACTACTTGCCGGGGCAGCCTGTCCCAGTGCCTGACAACCCTTTCAGTGAAGAAATTTTTCCTAATTTATTATCTAAACTTCCCCAGCACAAAGAAGAGACCAACACCCACCTCACTACAGCCTCCTTTCAGGTAGTTGTAGAGGGCGATAAGGTCTCCCCTCAGCCTCCTCTTCTCCAGTTCCCTCAGCCGCTCCCCATCAGACTTGTGCTCCAGACCCCTCACCAGCTTTGTTGTTCTTCTCTGGACACGCTCCAGCAACACAACATCTTTCTTGTAGTGAGGGACCCAAAACCGAACACTGTATTCGAGGTGAGGCCTCGCCAGTGCCGAGTACAGGGGCACGATCACTTCCCTGCTCCTGCTGGCCACACTATTCCTGATACAAGCCAGGATGCCATTGGCCTTCTTGGCCACCTGGGCACACTGCTGGCTCATATTCAGCCAGCTGTTGACCAGTACCCCCAGATCCCTCTCTGCTGGGCAGCTTTCTGGCCACTCTTCCCCAAGCCTCTAGTGCTGCATGGGGTTGTGACCCAAGTGCAGGACCTGGCACTTGGCCTTGTTGAACCTCATAGAGTTGGCCTCGTCCCATCGATCCAGCCTGTCCATGTCCCTCTGTAGAGCCTTCCTACCCTCCAGCAGATCGACACTCCCACCACATTTGGTGTCATCTGTCCATTTGTCACCGTGCTACTGCCCCAGCTCCTCCATCCATCCCCACATGCCCACTGCAGAAAGGCACCCCAGAGAACCCCACAGCTGCAATTATTTATTCACTGGAACTCTGAACTCTGTTCTCAGGCCCCATCTGCTGAGGCTGAGACTACTGAACTCCATGAGCTAACGCACCAGCTGGCTCCCCGACCCACCCTGTGTGGGCAGCAAAGCAAACCTGGGAAGCTATCGCTTTCAATCCAAAATCTGAAATTTTAATGTGCCCATCCACTCTTTTTTTTTTTTTTTTTTTTTTTTTTACAGTGTAATAGAACATCAATCTCATTTGCATGTAGATTATTAAGGTGACATTTATGAAGTGACATTTAAGCAAAAAATGCTTTTGAAAAGAAGTGCCAGACAGGCTCTTTGTTCTGGATGTGATACGCGCTGATTTATTAACCTGTCCAACCTTTCATTAACTGAAAAGCAGAGAAGTTTGGGGGAAGGGATGTGGTTTATTTTAGAAAATTCCCCACAGGCTTTCAGCAAAAGGCCACTTTCCCTCCTATACCTAAGCACAAGTGTTCAAATGGGGACCAAGGGCCATTTTTTGTCTACAGAAGTTTTTCAGGACCAAAATCAAATCCACAGAAAACAAAAGTGAGTCATCATACACAGCACTAATGCTTTCAACTAAGGCTGGGTTTCATTTAATGGCTAAATGACACCGAAGTGCATAGACTAAATCATGACTTCATAATTTTTCTTTAATAATAAACGTTTAAATTCAACTCTTGGTACTTGACCAACAGTTTCTCTTTACGGTATCAGTTTCCTAATATATTAAACGTCTAAGCTGTTCGTTAACAATACAATTGCCCAGCACTTGAAAAATACAGAGCAGAGAACTGTTTAAGAGTCATTATTTTAATCAAAATGGACAATGTTTCTATTTCAAAGTCGGGGGGAGAGGGAGGGGGCAGTATTAAACAGATGACACTGGTGAAACCAGCCCAAATTCCTTTCCACTTTGAAACCTGCTGCCCATCCATGCCACAAATGCCAGACTGGCAGGTTTCTTACAGAAATTACCTTATGCTTCACAAGTGACCGCTATTTGCACTGAAGTGGGATGTAAGCTGTTGCTGGCATACCACAGAAGAAAGGCATTCAGCAGTGAATCAGGAATACCTCTGCCATGGCTGTCTCTGCACGGATAGGAGTACTCAGAGGTTAACTGCTTGCTGGCACATGTTCATGGCTACCCCAGAAAGAAATCCTTTTTACCAAAAACTTCCGTGTTAAGAGGAAGACAAGCTGCTGACAGTGACCACTGGTTACAGTGGCTTCTGAAGATACAAGAGTCTCTTATGAAATTATCTTTTTCAGGGGAATTTTCTACCAGTGCTGCCTAGCAGACAGCATTAAAAAAATAAAACCAACCCCAAAGTTCCTGCATACACGAAGCTCATGCACACACTGGGATCCACACAGATCACATCTCCATTGCTCTAGAGGATATAAATATATTGCTCTATGGGGTATTTGCCTGTTTTACTAAATGTGCCCTCAAAGGCAACTAAAGCAGCTTTTCCTAGATCTTTGGCTTCCTGATTTTCCTAGGAGCATCAATCTATTTTCAGTTCCTTTAGAAGTCCCTGCGGCCCTCTGAAATATCAACCAGGAAGAAAAGGAACATTACAAATGCACCCAGTTATGAACCTTTGGACGAGCTTTCCTTGACCCCATCCTTTCTTCTGTTTATGTGTTACCTGATGGAAAATAAATCTTTCTATAGGGACATAGCTAGCCTTTCCTTTTTTTTCTTTCTTTCTTTTTAGGGGGTGAGAGGGGAAGGGAAGAAATAGATGATTTTGGTTAGCCAAATTCAAGTACCTATTCTATCAGATTCAGACAAGAAAGCTACATCTCTCTTCAGAGTCTTCAGAATTGCTGTGGAAAAACTACAAAGCACTGCTGAAATACAAACCAAGTTGTCTTGGAAATAACATGAAAAACCAGTTTAACTAACTGGATGGTAGCTTTCATCAACAGGCAGACCAAAGAGACAAAACACATGGAAACGGTGAGCAGAGCTCGAGGAAAATTGCCTGAAGACTTGGGACAAAGGGACGAACAGTACGTTACAAGGAGGAAAGACCACATCAATATGAACACATCAGTATAGCTTTTTCTTTTCAACCCAAGGACCCCAAAGTACTGTACTCCAGCTGATGAATGAATCCTCCCCAAAGTCTCACAAAGCTGCCCACAGTATCTGGTTGCGTAGCTCTTAGTAAGTTTTCCATACGAGTTCAAGTTTGTAGTAAGGCAAATGGATTCTTCCCGCTCTGGGTAACACTGAACAACTGTCAGACATCACATTAAAGACCCCGACTGGTTGTCTTTAGGAATGATCATGGAGGACAAGGAAAGAAAAAGACATCAAGGAAAGCAGAAGATAGACACTTATTTAAAGACAGCATTACAAAGAGAAGCTACCTGAAAAAGACAATAAAGGACGCTACTGGGATATGGGGAAGGTAATAGTACTATGTCCAATTTTGCATTTTTAATCAGCCTTTTAGAAACACCAATACACACCAGAAGCATTCAAGAACTACCCCAACAGCAACAATGCTAAACCTGATGGAGGACTGACCTCCTGCTTCAGGAGAGAAGTACAGTCCGTTTGAAAAGGAATGTATTCATTTTAAGGAACAACAGAAATGTAAGATACCTGTTGTAAAGGCT